TGGCGTCTTCGTGCTTTGAGTGCACCCTGAGGCTCGGAGAGGGGAAATGCTTTTGTGTTGCTTTGGGTTGTGAAGAAGCAACTTCGTTTAATCCCCCTTTGGGTTTCTTTTTGGAAGGGGCTTGGCTTTTGTTAACGGAACCGATGTTTGAGTTCTCAAGATCGGCTCGCAGACAGGTGGAGTTTGACACGCAGACAGGTGGACAAGGTTCTCAATGCAAAGCTTGTTGAGCAGTCATAGGCCCCAAGCCACTTGAAAACCATGCTTGAATTCACAGAACCGTGTTCACGGTCGTAAGCTCGTGAGTGTGGAGGGTGGGGATTGCTCGAAGCGACGTATTTTGCTTTATTCTCCCTGACTTGGCGCTTCTGTCCCAAAATGTTCGTGCTCTTCATTCAAACTAGATGCCTTTTTTCTCCGTGTCTGCTACTTGTCTCACACGTGCGGACGCTGAATCGTCCTAGCCTTGCATCTTGTCAGTCTTCAGAAAAGCATGTTCCCTACTAATCTCCTTTACTTGAACACTGGTGATGCTGGGGGTATTGACTCCTTCAAGCACTTGCAATTCTGGGGGGTCGACTACGGACCAGAGCGATACGCATATGTGTATATCATTAAGAGTTGCTGGGGGCTGCGATACGTGCTTCTGGGCCAGAATAGGTCTCAAGGAAACCGCTAAAGCCTGTCACGCAATCGAGCAGCAGCGTGCGTAAGTTGAGTGAGAGTGAGTATGCGAAAGTTGGTGAGTGTAGGTTGAGTGAGTGAGAGTAGGTATGTGTAGTAAGTTGAGGTGCGTGAGAGTGAGAGGGGTTGTAAGTTAGTGAATGCAAGTTAAGTGAGCGAGAGCAAGTGGCTTCCGTTCAAAAAGGCCGGCGAAGGAGCTGTATGCAGTATGCACAAAATTCCTGTTGCGTCTGATTTCCTGTTTGAGATGAAGCGGGCCCTCAGCTAAATCATGTAAATCCTGGCGGCAGCGCTAGCTTGGCGCTAGCTCGGCGCTAGGGTGGGACAGTTTGCAGTTGGGGCTTCATAGCGCTGGCCAAAGCCTGTGTTCATCTGGTCTAGTCAAGGAGGGACGTGGGATGTGAGATGCGGATGTTCTCATGCATCCTGCGCAGCGACCCCTCTGCGGCAATAGCGCTGAGCTAGCAGGCAGTTGCCAAACTGAACACTGGAGCGCGTGCTAGATTGGAGGAAACATCCAACAACTACTTGCATGTTTCTAGGCCGTGGTTGCAAATCAGGTTGCGTAGTTATTGGGTGCTATGCCGCCGAAGCTCGCCAAATGACAGAAAGCCAGCCTGAACGCATCTCTGGGAGTTCAGATAGTTCATCCCAAAGCAGGTAAGAAAAGCGGCGTGAGAAACGCCTGTCAGTCATTTGCACGTTTATCACTCAAACTTTCAGCGCCGGAATGGTTGCCCGGATGAGGCGGCCCCCATGGCCCGGCGATTTGCGCCACAGAGCTGGGAGCAAACCTTTGACAGCCGGCCAAGAATATGTGTGTGTGTGTGTGTGCTTGGAGTGAGTGAGAGTACGTATGTGTAAGCGGGGTGAGTGAGAGTGGTTGAAAGTCAGTGAGTAGGAGTGAGTGAGTTTTGTGAGCGAGAATAAGGATGCATAAGCGTGGGTGTATAAGTCGGCAGAAGGGCGAAGAGGAACCGGAGACGCGGCAGCGGAGGAGGAGGAGGAGGAAGAGGAGGATAAAGAAAAGGAGCAAGCGGCGTGGACGACGACATGAAAAGTACGATCCAACACAAGAATGTGAGGAGCAAGAAACAGGGGGGTTTGGGGGTTCGGGGGGGTTGGTTGGGGGCTGTTTCCGTTCCTGTTGCGGGCAACAGGCTTTCTGTCTCCCGAAGGCATGCAACAGGTTCTCGAGGGCTTAGGGCACCATGGTGTATGCGAGATGGTTTAGGGCATGATATGCGCAACAGTTTCTTGGGGGGCACCATAGTATGCTCGGGGTTGTCGGAAGAATGGTAGTGCACCATAGGCATGTGCAAGGTTTGTTGCGAAAAAATTGTGTATATATATATATACACATATATGCGTGTACATATATGCATATGATTGTGACTTCCTTCTGAATGTATGCCCAGTGTCACCTTTCTGTCATTTCTTTACAGTTGGTTCCACCTCCCAGTGTTCGTGCTCTTCCCCCCGTCTTGGCAAAATGCATCCAAGCCACATGCGATGTTCGTTTCTGCTACTTAACACGCACGTGCCTTCGGAAAAGTATTTTCCTTAAAAAAGCACCGGTGATGCTGGGGTGTCGACCAACTTAGTCTACGGACTACAGCGACATCTGTTTTTAGGAAGCGTGAAAAAATGTCCTCGCCTAAACGTTGCAAATATGTTATATATATATATATACGTATGTGCTCGGTCGATCTTGTTGGGGTTAGCTTGTTTCTCCAAGAACTAGGCTGAGCGTGCCGTACTGGAACTCCTTCATGGAGATTGCCTGCCGTGGGCTAAGTCGATCCCACAGTCGCCTGGCCACGTGGCAAGAACTTCTTGGGTGATCTGAAATGGGTTATAACAAATCGGTTCCAGGATGCTGCACACATCATTGGCCTGTGCAAGCTCCGTTTAGGGTCCCCTGACTCGTTCTGCCGGCATTTTGACTGTTCTAGGGCCAAAACCAAAAATTGACGGGGTTCCCTTCGACACCGCTTGTCCGGTGAGATTGACAACATTGGCCCGGTTATTTGAAGGAAACTAGGGGAGAGGGAGGCCATGGTGACAAGCTGTCACATGGACCCCCACTTGTGGATTTCCCTCCATTTCCCGGGCATTCTCCCTTTGGTACCAAGTGTAGGTGAATGTTACTCACTTAAGCCCTTTATTTGTAGGTCCTTTCCTGCCAAAAGGAGGCTAGACCAAAACCCACCAGTTCCCTAAGTCCTTTTTCGCCGAAGCAACTCCGGCCTTGCAAGCCCGCTTCCATTGCGCAGCCCGGGGGGGGGCGAGCGCGTCATGAAGGTTTGCTGGGCTCGATGTTTTCCAGTTTGAGAAGTGGTTGCTGCTGCTGGTTGCTTTTGAATGGGGTTGTTTCCAAAGGATGGGAATATTGTGTGTTTTCTTTTGGCTTCCTTTTGCGAGAATGCTTCCCCAAGACGTGAGTTAGCCAAGCAATCAGTTTGTGGCGGAACGTTGCAGATTTCTGTGAATCGCAATTGTTTTCTTTTCGCTTCTTGTTCCGTGCGGCCTCTGGCGAAGCGCCTTTTTTTCTTGTGCTTTTGTTTGGGCTTTACCCCAAAAGGGGACCAGGCCATGTCAGTCCCGGTTGCTCAGTCGCACCTGTGTTTTCCGTGTTTTTTTTTCTCGTTTTTTTCCCCTGGGTGGCTTCCCCACTAAGGGGTCGACCTAAAAAGGGGTCCGATTTTCCTGTTCTACCATCACACGACTGGGTGGTGTTTTTTTTAGGAAAGGGGCCGATCTAACCCAAGCAATGCTTGAGGAGTCTGCTTTTTGATCTGCTTTCCAGGGACTCCTTTCCGGTTCCGCGCGTATTTTTCTGCCGGAGACGTCGACGCAAAAAAAAGCTCCTCGTCCGAAGGGCCCGGATCAATCTTTGAGATTTCACGGGGATTCGAGGCAACAGCATCACCGACAAGTCCCCGGTGATCAGACAGCCGGAGCTCCCAATTGAAGGTCGAGGTCGCCAGGGCGTTTTGGTGGCCCTCGCCGTGGTTTGGGCTCCCAAAACCTCTTTAACAAATATACACACATATATATATATATATGTATATATGTGGGGGCGGATGAATATTGCTGGCCCGCAAATGACCATGGGGAATTTTTCCCATTTAGTGGGAAATATCATCTTTTGTGGTTTCCCTCAATGGTCATCCCATGCAAAGGACCTTTTGATCAACCCCAATATACATATATACGTATATGGCAGGGGCTTGGGGCTTCCTTGATTGACTTCGATGACTGTTGGTCAGAACCGCTTCGGTAGTTGCCACAGATGTGTCACTGCATGAAGACGCTTGTAATGTAGGGTTCCCGTATTTGTTTCAGTTGGTGATTTATTCTACTTCACCCAGACGTATGAACAACGGGGTGTGAGGTCACCGGCAGTCTATGGATTATTAGGGAAGTCCCCAACATTTTCCACCAGGGTCACTACCAGAATGGCAGGAGCCAAATAAGATCATGGAATGTATCTTGAGCTCAACCTGTTTTGACTGCGTTGATTGGGCATTCGGTCAGAGCCCGGTGAGCCCAACGAGCTACCAACGTGTTGTCCCCAAAGGGTGCCGGTTTGAGAAATGAAGGGACCACCACAAGTCTACAAATAGGCGTTTGCCTTTTTGAGGGCGCCCTCTTTTGCTGGTCTCAATGAGAAACCAGGAAACAAGCAACTTTGGGGTTCCCCCAAACAGGGACACATACCCAAATGTGGAAGATGTGGGTTTCCTGCAATGGTGTGCTACTTCCATGGTTCGGTTCATTTCGTTCGGATCCGAAGTCTTATCATTCACCCAGATTCCCCCAAAAAAATCGGCAGACATTCCAACAACAATTGGAACTTTGTTGGGCCTCGAAGAGATAAGCCGTTCGCTCGCCATCGGAGCCGAAAGCTGAAAGAGGTCCAAAAGACAGACCTCGTGGATTTCCAGGGAGATCCAAAGGGACAGCCGCGTAGAAGGATCCAAAGAAACCGGACAATTCGAAACGGGAAGCTCAAGACAAGTTGGTAGGAAACCAAAAGGACCACTCCAAGCTGAAGCAAACCAGAAGGGAATTCTGTGATTTCTCCATACAGCTTGCCTCTCCCCCCAAAAGTCCACGCCTGGCCAAGGCGCCCATGTCCCGCTATTCTTGGCTCAGAGGTAGCTTCTGGCCGCATGGCTTGCGCGCCAAAGCTACCTGGAAACTTCCGTCCTACTGTAGCAGACCCAAGCCCCTGCTGCGACGAACCCCTGAGCCTTCCGTTTTTACGGGGCCCAGGCGGTTGTCCAGCATTCCAGGGGCCTGGGTCGTAAATGTCGTGGCTCTTTTGGGCCCTCCAGTTGTTGACATGCCAAATCGCCTTCGCTGAAGCTGGGCGGCAGTCTTTTTTCTTGTTTTTTCGCGTGGCTGGCGGTTTGGGGGGGATGGCCATTGTTCAGCATGTGTCTCCAACTAACAATGGAGTTTGGGCGGCGACCTCCGATTGTCATGCACAATCTGTGGAGGGGGGGTTGGGGAGTGTGCCCAGCAGAATTAGTGTTTCATAGAATAAGCTACCTCTGAAAATGTGGGTACCTGTCGGTTCACCTTCAAGATCAACCAACAAAGGCTTTGCCATGTTGAAGGACCAATGTCATTCTGTTTGGTTGCAGAGACTTTTATTTGCCAAGAAGCTGGATTGCCAGAAGGGGCCACAAGCATGGACAACAGAAACAAAGATGTGGTGCAACATCACCGAAAAAGCAAGTGACACGTTGGCGGCACTTTGCCGGCACTTTGCTGTGCGGTCACCTGGTTGCGTTCTGGGCTGTTCTTTGGCTAGCGAAAGAGGTTGCCTTTGGCAATCATTTTGAACAGCCCAGCTCAGGAAAGATCAATCGTTTGGTTGCGGAAACAGCGGAGGGGTTGCATACCCCAAAAGAAAGCGCAGTCGTGGCCTGCCTGTGGCCAACAGGCTTTGCCAGGAATCATCGGTTCTATGTGTGAGTTCTCATATTTGTCTGGGGAACCCTGAAACTGGTTGGGCCCCTTGACGCCAAGCGAAACGCGTCTGTGGCACTTCCAGTTCTGAAGCCGATTACTCACCCCGAATGGGAACTCCTGTCAAACGCCATCAAGCACTGCGCTTGGCTTGAAAGATTCTGAAGGGGGAAGTAACAAGAAACAAAAAGGCTTGCAGCTACAAGTTTAGCATGTTTCGTTCAACTAGATTCTGTATCTCGAGTTGTTGGGATTTGGGTATATCAAAGGATTGGGGTACACGAGAATCTCAAAGCCTAAAGTTCTAGATTATCCTGAGACACAGCGCTTTAAATCTGGGCTTGTCTCCAGATAGAGGAATGCCAAATGATGTTGCTTCCTTCTACAGGGGGGGTACTCTCACAAATATACCCCCTACTCCAAATACCCACTTGCTTTCAGAATCATGTCAACTCTTCGCTAAAACAGGAGGTGTCTATCATGGAAACCCTAAGCAGGCGGGTATTTGGAGTAGAGGGGCATACCTATTTAGTTCCCTTTGGAGCTCCATCCAAAAGGCAGGCCATACTTTTTGTCGAGCCACTCATACGATTGTGAAAGAACCCCTTTCCAGGACCAGCAGAATGTCAATTCCCTTTCAAACTCCACGAAAGTACAAAGCTACCCAGAGGGCCTTCCTCAAACAGTGATTCTATTTGGCTTCAAAAGGACCCCTTATGCCTTGGTACCACCTTCGCCCTCTAAAAATATGTTAGCAGAGAAAAGCACCATCCGATTGAACATTGGCCAACCCTCAAGACACGCAAAACTTCCCAGTTTGTGAACTTCACATTTTTGACACGACTCTTTCAGTGGCAAACCAACAGCTTCGACTTTCGGCCAAATCCATTAAAGTCGGCATGATGTATAGTAGGAACCTCCCCTCAAAGCTGGCTGGTTGCACAAATCCCCACCGAATTCTGATGTCCACCAGCTGGGGGGTCCCTAAAACAGATAACCCAAGTGAGGCACCTCCGGCTTAGCCCCCGCGACGAGGATTTGCCAGTGCATTGCCTCCACCACGAGATCATCGGCAGCTGGAAGTTCGTCCTCGGCCGGCCCAGTGGAACTAGGTCCTCCTGCGGCCATCTGCGCCCGGACTCTGTGGATGTCCAGCCCGGTAGAGACGTCCTCGACGCCGTAGACAGAGACACTCGGCCGGAAAATGAGAAGCAAACTCCAGGATGCTCAGGCATGTATGTGTTGAACAGGATTCGCATACATACACATGACTGTGCAGATGTTCACATGCAAATGTTGATGTTATACATGTACAATTTATGACTATGAATTTTAATGGGTGGTCATAAATCCCCACCTAAATGATGTCCACCAAAGGGTCCCTAATCAAAATCTATATCCATGTATATATATATATATATCATGTGCACATGTGTATGTGCAAACGATAACGATTGCACCCTGACCAAAACGTGTGGCTGCCCCCCCCCCCCGTTTTTGGGTCATGGTTTCAACGGCGCTCCTTGTTCTTCCCCTTCCTGAAAGAAAGCCCGCTTGGGCCAATGATGTTTGAGATTCTCTTTGGCGGGGTGATGATACGCGGGGACACACAAGGAATCCGGACCAGCGTGGCTGTGGCGTCTTGGTCTGTCGCATTCCAAAGTAAGGAAGACTGTCGGGCTGGGTTGAAAGGGAAACCAAAAGGAGGGCAACCAGTGTTGAGCCGTGCATATTCTGTTGAACAGTTGTTCAACCGTCATGAACCACCAGCTCGCCGATTCGGGTGAAGCTAGTTCGTGGCCCATGAAGGGCCTCTCATAAGGGTTCACTGTTTGTGAATCATAGCAATTTTGCCACAGTACTTTTTTGTTTACATCTGTAATTACATGTACGCATACATGTATGTATATGTATATATATATGTTATATTATGCATTGATATATATATATATATATATATACATATATATATATATATGTATGTATATAGAGAGAGAGAGAGAGAGCGAATACATTGTATATATATATATATACACAAGTACATAGACACTATAGACACCTGGAATGATGTGTCGACGCGGGCGTGTCAAATGAGGGGTCCCTAGCAAACACCCACTTTGGTTCTGTTGCCGGACCCATACATCAACAGTAAGCGGGTCAACTGGAGCAGAATTTGTTTTGCCAAGTATTCGCGTAGTATTCGGGGGGAACTCCTTTTATGTTGCGGAGGCACCGTGTAGGCAGTTCTGGTGGGTCCGGGTAGGTTGTTCAAGAAATTTCTGCGTAGGCAGGTTCGCGCAGGCGTGTTTTACCGTACGCAAGCTTGTTGGTCTGCGTAGGCACTCCGCGTAGGCGCTTGTTGCTTCTCGCGTAGGCACCCTTTCACGGTTTTGCACACCCGCGGAGGCTGCACGTAGGCATGGCTGCCTGTGTATTAGGCCGATACACACAAAGCACACACTAACTGCCCAACTCAACCAACACCTAGGAGGAAACAAGACAAGGGAGTTGTTGTTGTTCTTTCGCCCAGGGCACCAAAAGAGTTTGCGTGTTGCTTCCAAAAAGGGTTTGCATACAGTGCTCCCGCTGACTCCTGGGGTGAAGAAGGAACGTCCTAACCTGCACCATCCGAGGAGCTCGTGGTGTCCTTAAAGGACCCCAACATCGCAGAGGCAGAGGCGGATGGCAAAGATCTGGCGAGGGACCCGTTCCACTCATCGGGGGGCAAAAGGAGCAATGTGATGTAGGACCTCTACTTGGGTATTCCAAGTCTTATTTCCATGGTTGGAGTTGTTGAATTTGGAGACCGCATGGTACTTCCGGCCGTGTCCGTGCTCTCGCTTGGCCTGCGGGCCGAACCGCGCACGCCTTCTCGCGGGCGGGAGGCGCACCCTTTGGGCACCTGGACCATGATCTACGACGAAGGCTTCGAGGTGGAGCTGGGGCACCTCAACTTCTTCGCCTTCTCGCGCCTCGGGCCCGAAAATTCGGAATGCGGACCCTCACGGATAACGGAAAATTCGGAATGCTGGATCATCTGCTCACATGTAACAAGCATTCAGATTTCTCTAGCGCCATATTCTTATGGTGTGTTGACTGAGTTCCCTTGGTTTCCTGGGCGCGTTTGAAGCAAAGCTTCTTCTGGTGTACTCGGGTCCAGGTCCATTTCTGGTGACCAGACCAGTAGCACATTCTTTGAGGCACTTCACCTTACATGCAACGAGCAGTCAAATCTCCCTAGTTGAACACACTACCTGCTTGTTGAGTAGGGTTTCTGATTTCGGTGATGCCCAGACCCGATCGGCGCGTTTTTTCGTGTGAGGAACTTCACCTTCGATGTGAACGAGCATGGCAAGCACAATATTTCCCACTGTGACCAGACCATGGTGGGCTGGTATCACAACAAGGACCACAGAAGCGGCCTGTCGCTTCTCATTTGGGGGCGTTTGCCCCAGGAGTCTAGAGGGGATGCCAAGAGGCACGCTCGGCACATTCCCACGAGAAAGTAATTGCTGGAGCTTGCCAAGCCAATGTCATTGAGGGACACATGCTGATTACCTTAATATTGACAAAAGCACAGACCCATTCTTCTGGCCCTTTGGGCGAGGGTCTTTTTAGTTTGCGTACGGCGCCTTAACAAAGGCAGGTAGATATTTTTTTTTTTCCCGGTAAGCTGCGGACATGGCTGTTGAAAGGCTGGCTTTTGTGCCATTTTCGGGAAGCCAATGGAATGACCTCAAATTAGCAGACCATTCGGCTGTTGCCCCTTGCCAAGGGATTTGGCCGCCGCTTTTGGTGATACCGAGGGAAGCTCCTTGCAACAGACAAACTAAGTAGAGATGACCCACTTTGGTATCTCTTGGTTTCACTCGCTCATTTGGGGATTCGAAACTTGTTGGCAGCTCATTTTGGTGGCAAGCCAAAAGTCGGCTTACTTCCGTGACCATTCCTCTCAGGAAGTGACAAGCTCAAGTGAGGTCAGTTGGCATGGGTCACACTCACCAATGGCCCCCCAGGTGAGGGTCTTAGCGTTTTGAGCTACCAGTCCCCATGGCTTGGGAGGGGACCTTGGACACGCCTCGGGCACCGCAAAGGGCCCTCATGTTGGACCGCCCGAGGCCCAACAGATGGTTCAAAGTTCAAAAAGGGGTTCACCATTTTGGGGGGTGATGAGCCGCTTTCAACTGGAAAACCAAGGGCTTGCACCAATCATAGCTTACCTGGTATGAAAACAAGCTCGCCCTCAAATGAAAGCCCCCCGAACGCCGCAGAGTTCAGCCCCCGGACCCTTGCGCCCTGCCAGGATCGGACGCAATTTGGGTGCTACTACGGCACTAAGATCCCCACGGAGGAGTGGATGGGAGTTTCCAAGCGTTTTGGAGGTGAAGGGGCAAGAATATCTACTTTGGCTTTTGCGCCCTAACCGAACATGCATTTGATTCTGGTCCATATAACGCGCCTTAACAAAAGAGAACCCAGAAAACAAATTAAGGGGCCTCCATACCGCCAACAGCTACAAGTGAACTATGTTGTTGAGTGGAGATAGAGAGAAAGACAGACGGACGGACAGACCGACAGACAGAGAGACAGACAGAGACAGGAACCGAAACTCAGAGACAGAGAGACCGAGACGGACGGACGGACGGAGACGGACAGACAGACAGACAGACAGACAGACAGACAGACAGACAGACAGACAGACAGACAGACAGACAGAGAGAGAGAGAGCATGAGAAAAAGTGTATCAATCGAAAAGAGGGGTGTCCAACTTGACGTCCAATTTGTTGTTTGTGAATTAACGGGGCATCGGTCTTGAATGCTTCCCTACCGGATCTTGTTGGTAGCAATATTGTTTTGTATTCACATGTTCCTTGGTTTGCAAGCGTTGTTTTACTTGAACTGTGATGATCATTCCTGTTGAGGAACCGCCGATGGCTCGCATGTTCGGGAGTTTTTACCATTTAGCACACCTCCTGTTCTGGCCAATGGCGCAATTGTGCACCAGCTGAAAGCTTTCGTGGCCTTTGTCTTTGCCCAAAAAAGCTTTGGGGCGGTTCAGACCATTGAGAGAGAATCCCCCAAGGGTTGCAAAGGCTCCGGGACTGGGATGCCACCTCTTATTTGTTGAGCTGAAGCCGGGCCTACGAGTCCGGGACGGCTCCTTCCATGCTCGGAAGGGTACCAGGCAAGAATCCGGCCACGGTCAATACACCATGTTCCTTGGTTTGTAAGGAGGGTCTTCAACCCTGAAATATATCCGAGGCGGCCAATGCAATTTGGAAACAACAACACCTGCCCATGGCGCACATGTTTGGAGTTTGAAGCAGGGCGCGCATGACCCACATTGAGCTTGCGTACAAAGCTGATGACTTGTGGTGTCCTCTGTAACAATCAAGAGCAGCCTGTTGGTCCCAAAAAAGACTAGGTCCCCAGTAGTGCCCTTTTACCCTTTTTTGCGGCGGGTTCCCCTACTAAAATGGACTACAGAACAAATCGGGTACCCTTATTCTAACCTCTCTACTGGAGGACCTAGAAGAGGCGGTTTGATTATGCTTCTTGAACAACCTACGGTCAACTCGCCTGGCGAGCCCCCGGATTCGTGCAGTGCCACCCTTGATCAGTTCTTTTCATCGCGTTGTGTCCTCATCAAAAGCATGGAAACGACCCACCAAAGAGGAATTGCTCCGGTATTTTCCAGCTTTCCAGTTATCCGGGTTGCTGGCTTCAACTGGATTTGATTCAAACATAGATTGAGCTATGCAGCAGCTTTGTAGCTCTGACGGATCACTGGTTTGATCTCCTTCCAGACACCCAGCGGGTTGCTTCCGGTTCCCTTTTTTGGAGAGGGTTTACTGCTCGAGTTTGCCAGTGGGTTGCTTTCCGTTTCCTTTTTGTTGGAGGGAGTTTCCCCTGCAAGTCAACCGCAAAAAGAGGGCCTTGTTTTCTTTGCCATGGAAATCAACTGGATGTCTGGACTCAGGAGGAGATGCAGCTAGCTGTAGAGATGAAATCAAGGCACCTCTGCCCCAGCAGCGGCTCGGGCAGGTCTTCAGCTCGCGCGAAGTTTGGGCAAACTCACCATGTGTCAACTTTTGTGGACCAAATCTGGGCTGTTTAAAGGCAACTGTATCCTACGGGGTCCCTTTTGCAGTGCTTTTCCAATCGAGATGGATCAGGATTGGCCAACGCCGTTTTGCACAGCCCAGTTCATAGAGATGCTGGATTGTTTCCCTGTGCACCATGGCGAACCAGGGTACCCTCGAAAAACATGCACCCATGTGGACTCGGACACTTTTCTGTGGGTGCCAACACTGCTCCTGCAGGGAAATCACAATGTCGATCGGTAAAGGCCAACTGTATCCTTGATATGGTATCGCCATAGCTTTTTACATTTTAGACATGTTGCGGCGTCTTTTTGGAGGCAAATGTCATTTGACATGAGGATTGCAGGATCGGGTAGGTGGCTAACGTTATAGACGTCAAGACTTCGCGTGTTCTGGGACGTATTCCCAAGGAACAAGTCCCAACCAGCAGGTGTCACGCTTTCAATTGGTATTGTAGACTCCCCAGTTCCCAGTCGTTTCTTGGGTGAGTCCTTTCCCTTGAAAATTCGAGCAACAAAAAGGGAGTGCCCTTTGCTTTTCATGGCCACGCTGAGACTACTTTACCAGGTGTTGATTGTGACTCTTGTTGCCTGGGTTTGCTTTGTGGGAAATGCTAAAACAAAAACCTCGGTTCGTCTCAATGGATTTCGTGCAGCCCTGTTCTTGGCTTGGCGTGTTTGGGGTGTTAACAACTTTGAACGTTGGTTCTTTACCCCACATGGATGTGTCCAAGCCTTTTGGCTTTACTTTGGCCCCCAGATGATTACCGAGTTAATGTTTGATAACATATTTGATTCATTTGTGCTCTTGACCAAAAGGATGGCGGAACAGATTTGACTCTTGCTTAAATTGTTGAGCATCGACTTAGATGTTCAGCATGAGTTCTCTTTGGCCCTGTGGGACGCTGTGGATGGTGTTGGCATCGTGCCACAACCCGGAGTTCGACAATTTAACCAAGAGTCAAATCTGTTCTGCCATGCATTTCGTCAAGGACACAAGTGTCTCTAGTATGTGATTAAGCCTTCCAGCCAAGATCCTGAGATGTTCAAGCCAGGCTACTCAGGGTTCGGCAGTTCAGATGACACCCTTCTGTGTTGATGGGATCCCCACTGATCAACCCCGAAATCGCTCAAAACGTGCAACCAGCCTGCGAAAAGCAATGGTTGCCTCCTTCTACCATTCAGGTCACTGGTTGCAACCATTTCCCTCCGGGCACTAATTCTCGAGGTGTCCCAACTGTCGCCCAAAGGGTAAGTGAAGAGCCATTCATGTTTTGGGCGAGCTTCTGCTGTAAACCAAGCCCCATGAACATGCTGACGTGTACACAGCATTCTAGTGGATTCTACCGTTAGGGGTAACCCACTGGAATTCCTCCATCCAGCCATATCGCTGAAGCTTTCCGCTGGCTAGCCCATATCGGCGGATCGAGGAAAAAAGCCCAAGACGCTGCTCTACCAAACGAAGATGTCGCAGCGCCACCAGCGGAAGGTCATCGACAAGCTCGCGGAGCGCATCGAGAGCGAGCGCCTGGGATCGGCGATTTTCGGACAAAGTTTGATCGCCCGAAAACGTGGCTCTCAAAATCAGGAGACCCGGGGGAAAAAGAAAAACAACAGCCGGGGTTTCCGCTTCACCAACAATTGAACCCAAACACAAGGGGTTTTGGTTTTCCCCAGACCTCCAGTGGTGCCCATTGTGTTGTTTGGAGGGTACTCTTTTTCTGGTACCCCCTATTTGGTGGTTTGGATTGGGCGGTTGGGGATTTGAACCCATGGCCTTTGGTAGAGGGTGAGCGGGAATCTTCCAAACCACCCATCCAAACCACCAAGTAGAGGGAAGCTGATTTTTGGTCAGGGGGCCACGGGAAGCAGGGGAAGTTTGAGAATGACGCTCTTGCAGGGAAACCGCCCCAACAAGGTCCAGTTTGACAATCACACTCTTCAACTGTTTCTGGGGTGAGTGTCCCTTAAAATAAATCCAAGCGACCGCTCTACTAGGTAACCAGCCATGTGCCCTTTAGTACCCTGGTGGCTCCCTTGATTATCTTTACACTTCAATGAAAATGTTACGGATCAGTCACCCCGATAACTAGGGAACACGCATCGGGTTTCCCTCTGGTTTCCCTTTACAGCATTTTTGCACCAGTTGCACCAGTTCCCCAGGCAAACCGCGCAAAAACATCAGCGCCGTGATTGGGTCCCTTCAGAGAAGGCACTGATTGGTCTGCGAATGAGTTTGTCATTTGGTCTCGGGATGCATGCTTGAACATGTATAAGAAATCGAGGCTCTTAGCGGGCCTGCGGCTTTGTGTCTCCCTGGATACTTGCTAGGTACTACATGTCAGATTGTGAGAATGATGGTTCCCTTTCAGGGAGCTGAACCCTATTAAGGGGGCCTTTATCTCCGCTGAAGGGGGTGGTTGTGAGATCGGCCCAGAATGTATCTTTTGAAAACCCCTGGTTAAGAGTGAGTGTCCTTTGGCTGACATGAGAGGATTCGCTTGGAATTCCTTTTGGATCTCGAAGGCCTGACATGTCGCCAAACATTCGGATCTCTCAAAATGATATATGGAACTTCCCACATGGGCTTCAGTGTCCTTCTGATTTTCCTTTGAGGCAACACCAAGGCCAAAAAAGGAGCGCCTGAAATGAGCCCCAAAACAAGATGAGGGTGGTGGTTCGTGTGTTGAGACAGGGTTGCTTGTTTGCGCCCTTGACATGTCACCCCACCAAAGGTGGGGTGTGTCTCCAGATACCCAGACATGGGATGCTTGGAAAGGAGGAAAGTGAAGCAAGTCAAAGCTGAAACCACCTGGAGAGGGGCTCTAATTTTGAGACGCAAGCTGCTGTGACCATTTGGTTTTGAGACCTGACTCCAACAGGTGATCACTGTTTACTTCCCTTGTGCAAGTGGGTCAAACCCAAGGAGATTCCAGATTAGAACCCCTACAATGACACATCCCCAGAAAAGGTTATAGATCCCTCCACTCAAAATTCTGGAGTGGGACCCCAAATTGTCACATCCCGAGGGGGGGGGGGTAGTAGATCCCTCTACTCAAAAAGTAAAAATAGCACTTGTGTATAGCCCTCGATATTGCAGCCATGAATCTGAAATTTGCCCTCCGATAGCGAGACTGTATCAATGTGGAACTGAATCTGCGCAATTGAGCGGCCAAAGATGTTTTTTTCAGTCGGCCACGTTAGGTTTTACCTACCTGGCTTTTACAAGGGTTATAGTAAGGCCTCAGTAAACCTGTCTACCAATCTTGGGAGAACCAAAAATCTTGGTCCGTTCCGTGAGGTCGCTGGGGTGGAAGGCCAAGCCCATGGACAAATGGAACGGCCTGTCCATGCTTCAGGCACCTCCGCTTGTTGTCGTTATGTTGTTCTGTTTTTCTTGTTCTGTGTCATGTCCTGATTGGTTGTTCAGTCTTCCTCGTTGTTTCTTAGTTGTCATGTTTCTGATTGTTCCTCTTGTTTGTGTGCTCAGGTTTTCCCGATTGTGTGTGTGTGTCTTGCAGTTGACTTCTGTTATTTTGTTTTCTCCTCTATTGTCTTCCTTCTGTTCCAAGTCTTTCATATTGGTCGAGCACACATTTACCACTGTTCGATGTAATCTTCATGGAGATTGCAATAATACACGTTTCCTTTTTGTTTGTGTTTGAATCTTCTCCAGGATGGCTTTGGGAAACTCATGTAGCCAGCATGTGTAGAGGCGGAGCCCAGTCATGTTTCCAACGGGGTAGTTGCCAGTGGGCGACACTGCGTGCTCTTTCAATCAGGTTGTTTTTGAGGGAGGCCACTAACTCATTGAAACGTAAACGGAGGACACACAAGATGCACAATTGTTTCCTTGGATGTCCTTTGCCTGAGGCCTACGTGGTCCCACCCTGTTTTGCCTGGGTGTCATTTTGCTCGAAGTGTTGCTGCTGTTTGCCTACTTGAAGTTATTCTTAGGTACGCGCACCTGGAGCTTTCGGAATCTGTCCTTGTTTCCTGAAGCTTGCCTAGGGTTCGATTTTATATAGATTTCGTTGTATGACTTGTTTTTTTTGCCTAGGGTTTCTTTTTGCTCGAGTTTGCCTAGGTCATCTCGATATGAGCGGGGCCTCAAAGTAGTTGGTTTGCTGCCAGTTGTCCATCAAAACCAAATTGTGAAAAGGGGGCCTCAACCCAACTTCCCGCAAAAACCAGAGAGGCGTGCCCCAATCTTCCAGCGTGTGTCTTCGGGGAAGCAAAAGCTAAGCATGTTTGTCCGGGGTGTAGATCCCCCTTGAAAAAGAACAACAACATGATCTTTGCATGATTCTGTTTTTCTTGACCGGGTTCACTGCTCGGCTCCAAAAAAAAGGTTCCAGGTTCCGCCTCTTTTTTTCAGGTCTCCGTTTTTTTCCACAGGTGAACTCCTACGCGGGCATCAAGCGTGAGAAGCGCACTTCCGAGATGCTGCGCCAGCACGGGGCCGCGCTGAAGACGTTGGAGGGCCGCGTGAAGCGGAGGACGAGAAAGCGCGAAGAACTGCCTTTACATGGTTGTTGCTTCCCCAGAATTAGCTCCCCTTTTTGCTTTTTTGCTTTTTGTTGGGTTCCCTTTCTTTTCCACTAACCAGGCAAAAAAGATATTTTTGCTGGAGTCCTAATTTCAGCCAAGGTTGTTGGGAAACATTTTACATGTTTGCTTATTGTGGTTTATTGATTGAAATCCAACCACTCAACTGCTAAAATGTAGATTTTTGCTCCCCTTCCAACGTCAACCAAGCTTAGATCGGCAGGTAAAGGCAGGGTTGTGGGATTACTCGGGGTTGATCCAACCGCTTCTGTGATACTTTTGGGAATCTCCCCGAGGAATCTCCCCCTTAAAAAAGGAAGGTTAGTCTTTGGGAACCCCTTCTTGACCACAGAAGTGGTCATTTCCCACAGGCCTGGGTAAAGGAGATGAGTAAACCCAAATGGGGAATTCTGTAGTCATTAGTGATCTACAAGAAGTACGGATTACTGTGTATTGTTTTTTCGGACCAATCCACTCAGGAAGTGATCAATTTGCATTTCTGAACTCTTGGTGGTTTGCTTTGTGTGTTCTTATTTTTCTCCCCAGAGGTATATCATGATTGCCGGGGGGGGGGACGGTAATTCTTGTTTGGGGGAAGGAGTTTGAGGGGGTGGGTCTATTGGCTCCTCCTCCCTTGATCAAAGGGAAAGCGCTTCAAAGAGAAGACTTAGATGAAAGATGCCTCTCTCCATCATATGGTGTAGAAATAGAGTGATGAAGAGAGAGAGAGAGAGAGAGAGAGAGAGAGAAACTGAATGATTCCTTGGCACGCCCCTTCTTTTTCTATGTGATGGCGTGCGAATCTGGGAATTGAGAGGACTCTGATGCAGGAGCTTGACCAATGGATGAGTCTAGAGATTTGTTTTTCTCCCCTGAGGCACGGCATGCGATCATCTTATGTTTCTTCCTGTTTTGTTTTTCACCTCTATTTCTTCTTTATTAGTGACATGATATTATTTGTGTCCTCTGGATTCTTACGTTGGACAGAAGGAGACAGGTAGCCCATCCATCATGTGCCTCTCTCAGGGAGTAAACGGTGAGGCAAGAGGGTGGGTTTCTTCAGGAACAGACTTCACCAGATCCCAGGTGATGTGTATGAGAGAGAGAGAGAGAGAGCGAGCGACCCTTGACTGGTAAGCAAGACAATGTGATTTCCCAAACAGGATCTCATTTCCAATATTCCAGGGTCTTACCTACCCTTTATCAGTGCATGAAATACGAGATAACATCAAGAGAGATAAAGTCTATCAAAGAAACGACATGAAGACTAAGCATTCAAGCGAGGTCTTCCCACAAAGCAAAGTAGCCCTCACTTTCCAGCTGTTTAACATCATTTGTTGGTTTGTCTCTTACTCCCAGCCACGGCTGCACCCAATCAACTCATGCAAATAGTGGGCCATGTCTTCATTCGCGAGAGCGGGTTGGCTGCGGGGTGTTTCGCTTGCACATCAAGCAATCAAACCAGAATTTGCCGTTTTACCCTTTTCATTCTATGGACATCCGTTGCAAAGAGATTCCCTTTGATCTCACCAAGCAACAGGTCCCAACATTTTCGTGGAAGTTCCCTTGAAAAATCAGCCAAGAGAAGGCGGGCCCTTTGCTAGGTTTCCCAGTAGTGCCCTTCTCTTCGCTTTTTTTGGGGGAGGGTTCCCCTACTAAAATAAACTACAGGTTCTGACCTCTCTACTGGAGGACCTAGTTGGTATCCCACGGGACTCAGCCAAAAACGGGTCGTGTCCTAGGAGCTTCCTGCGCAGCAGCAGCGTGTCCCAGCTGGGCGCCGCTCTCCCCGAGGCTTTGGACTGGACCAACGCGCCTCGACTCGAGTAGAATGAGGTGGGTTGGGATCATATTCGACCCTCCCCCCCCAAAAAAAAAGGTGTCTCTCTCTATACTTTAGAGCCTCCGGCTCAGTCCGCCGACATTGTCCTCTCCCTTTTCTCCTTCTTCCTCTCTTCCTTGTCTCCCTTGTGTGCTCTCCCTCCCTCTGCTCCCATCCTCCCCATCCCCCCAAGCCTCTCTCTTCCCAATCTCCCTCTCTCGTATGTATGCATGCATGTACATAAGTATGTATGTATGCATGTATGTATGTATGTATGTATGTATGTATGTATGTATGTATGTATGTAATGTAAGCAAGTAAGTAAGTAAGTAAGTACCTAAGTAAGTATGTATGTACGTAATGTATTTATGTATGTATGTATGTATGAATGTAATGTACTGTATGTATGTATGTATGTAATGTATGTATGTATGTAATGTATGTATGTATGGATGGATGTACGTATGTATGTATGTATGTAATGTAATGTAATGTAATGTAAATAATGTAATGCAATGCAATGTATGTATGTAATGTAATGTAATGTAATGTAATGTAATGTAATGTAATGTAATGTAATGTAATGTATGTATGTATGTATGTATGTATGTAATGTAATGTATGTATGTATGTATGTATGTAATGTATGTATGTAATGTATGTATGTATGTATGTATGTATGTAATGTATGTATGTATGTATGTATGTATGTATGTATGTATGTATGTATGTATGTATGTATGTATGTATGTATGTATGTATGTATGTATGTATGTATGTATGTATGTATGTATGTATGTATGTATGTATGTATGTATGTATGTATGTATGTATGTATGTATGTATGTATGTATGTATGTATGTATGTATGTATGTATGTATGTATGTATGTATGTATGTATGTATGTATGTATGTATGTATGTATGTATGTATGTATGTATGTATGTATGTGTATGTATGTATGTATGTAATGTATGTATGTATGTATGTATGTATGTATGTATGTATGTATGTATGTATGTATGTATGTATGTATGTATGTATGTATGTATGTATGTATGTATGTATGTATGTATGTATGTATGTATGTATGTATGTATGTATGTATGTATGTATGTATGTATGTATGTATGTTGTATGTATGTGTATGTATGTATGTATGTATGTATGTATGTATGTATGTATGTATATGTATGTAATGTATGTATGTATGTATGTATGTATGTATGTATGTATGTATGTATGTATGTATGTATGTATGTAATGTAATGTATGTATGTATGTAATGTATGTATGTATGTATGTATGTATGTATGTATGTATGTATGTATGTATGTATGTATGTATGTATGTATGTATGTATGTATGTATGTATGTATGTATGTATGTATGTATGTATGTATGTATGTAATATGTATGTATGTATGTATGTATGTATGTATGTATGTATGTATGTATGTATGTATGTATGTATGTATGTATGTATGTATGTATGTATGTATGTATGTATGTATGTATGTCGGTAGGTAGGTAGGTATGTATGTAATGCATGTATGCATGTATGTATGTATGTATGTATGCATGCATGTATGTATGTATGTATGTATGTGTGTGTAATGTATGTATGACATGTATGTATGTATGTATGTATGCATGCATGCATTCATGCATGTATGTATGTATTTCCCGCAAAAAAAACACGGTTTTTCCAGCGTTTTCGCAAAGAGGACGTCCAAAAACATTGAGTTTTTCCAGATTTTCGGCAAAAGGATGCAGGAAGCCCAAGCCAGCAAAAAAGCCGGCAGGGGGAATCGAGCCTGGGACCCCTGTTTTGCGACACCGGCTCCCCGAAGACTACGTTTAGTGGAACGTCATCAAATTGCCGCGCGGTACGTGGGGGACCCCCCCCCCAAAAAAAAACCTACGTAATAGACGTCGGGCGGGGGGGGGTTAGGGGGGGGGGTTATCCTCTATCCTCTAGTAAGTATCCGACACGCCGAGCAATGTCGGCGGATATATATATATATACATATACACGCACAAATATATATATATATATATATATACATATATACACAGGGATTTGGATGAAACTATGTTTTCCGGCTTGGGAGAATTGCATTTTTTTTGGTTGGTTCACGCTCAGACTTTACAGACCCAGTCTTTTTGGCTTGCCCCAAACTGACCCTGAACTGACCCTTAGGTTTTGCATTGGTGTTTCACTTTAAGCCTACGTCCCACAAGGCGGAAAGGTTGATTCAACCGGGGTTTTGCCCTAGGGTGGTTTGTGGTTGACGTATGATTGTAACAAATGTCCGGACAACTAAACCAAGCTGATCCCAGAAAAGGTGCCAAAAGGACCAACCTGGGTTTGATGCCGCGTTCCGCTGCCAGATTTGGCACAGCTGAACGAGGGGCTGAATAGTAACTCTCAGTTTTTTTTGCAACGATTGGTTGTTCGGTCCCCATAACCCCATGTTGATGATTAAAGCCCTTATTGTGTTGAGAATGGAAAAACTTGCTCCGCTACAGATTCACATGGAACCCACCAAAACACCATCTGTTCTGGAAACTCCTTTTGGGGGACCCCCCGCTTTTTGGGTTCCATGTTAATCTGTAGGGGAGCAGCATACATATGGGGCGGGTCTGCAATTCATGGTCTCTTGCCGAAGGGTTCCTTCGGTATGACTTACCCAGGTTTCGGCGAAGCGGCGCCAGCTAGCTATGTGTTTGGTAGGGAACCATGACCTTGATCCACATTTGGGAGTTTTGACCATGGCGGATTCTTATTTCAGATCGACAAGACTTCAGCCAATCCTATTTCAGGCAGAATGAAAGCATTCCAGACCCCAGGTCAAAGAGTATTTTGGGGACCCCAGCACACTCTGGAAGCACACTTCCCTGTTTGATACGTTTGAGTCTACTCAGCAGGCTTCCCCACTAGCCAACCAGCCAAACTAACCCAGCCACCCACCCACCCACCCACCCACCCAACCAATCAACCAACCAACCAACCAACCAACCCACCTCAACCACCCCAACCCACCCCAACCCGCCCCAACCCGCCCAACCCACCTTTGAGCCGTATGTTGGGGTCACCGCGGCACTGAGGTCAATGGCCGTAGCTATGTGGAAGAGGTCATGGACCAGTCCGAGTGTGGCAGCTGCTACGTGGCCTCAGCCATGCGCCCCTGGGACGAAAAAGCTCAGCCAGCCCAGTAGGTGGCATCTGTTTTGTTCCTCTCTTCGGGGTCAGAGTCAGAATCTAGTATGTTTTGGGGCGTACCCGTATGTACCCGTGGGTCAAGCAAGCCAACCGACCCGCCGGGTGACCTTGGTTTCTCATTGGTTTCCATTTCAAACCCATCGAAACACGAGGTCTCAACATTGGGGGTCTTGGGAGTCCGTCCTGGGTTGTTGAATACTCCTTTGGTGGTAATGCACCCGTTATTTAGTCACGGAGAGCTTGAAAATCAACTGCCTACGAGCCGTTTGTGGCGTCCTCAAACAAGGGCCCGCGCCCGCGTTTCTGTCGAGCGGTATCTGAAGGCATTGGGCACAATTTCCTTGTCGGTAAGTTGGATACGCCTTTTTGGTGAAGGCTTTCTGACCCCACTCAAAAGGGGAAGTAAACGGCAATGGGAGTCTCATTTGGCTTTTGAGCAGCGCTCACATGCAAGTGGTTTCTGTTTCTGACTTTCATAACGCTCGTATCTCAAAGTTGTCTTCCGTGGCAGAATATGTTAGACCTCACATTACAATTCCTTACATGGGGATTTCTTATTTCCAGTGTGTGTGTGTGTCTAATAGGGATGTGTACTGCATATAATATGTCGCTTCCTAAGTTTCATGACTCAGAACTGGTGTCTACCCGTTTTGGGGCATGAGCAGCAAGCTGAAAAACGGGTCAGTTGCCCAAGGGTTATGTAGTGGGTTCCCTGACAAAAGGGTACCCCCCCTGTTTTCCCAGTCCTTTGGAGGTATGAACAGCCCTTCAGGCCCTATTAGAGGGTGGGTCCGGCGACGGGTTCTAAACATTGGTAGTCTATGGACAAGCTCGTGGCTCTAAGATCCGGACCCTTTGTTTGCAGAGCTGAGGCATGCTCACTGCGAGACACAAGATCAAGCAGAACGATACCTCCCTCTCCCCTTGGTCCATTTCCTTTCCTCTGCAATGCTCGGAGTACAATCAGGGCTGCACCTTGGCCAGCACTGAGAGGTGTTGTGACCTACTTGCAATGGTATTAGGTTCGGTCAACATAGTCTGGTTCGTCTATGCTGCATTTGGGCGGAAAATGGGAGGATAATTTCCGAATGTCGACCCGGCAAAAAGCAGAGGAATCACTCATGTTCCCATGTCGACGTGACAGCCCCCAACTGGCCACCGAATGAAAAAGAGCGCACCCTATTCAGCCACGGACCTGTGAATCCTAGAGCCAGGTCGAAATCGCACACTCGTTGACACAGACTGCACATCAGGATTATGCGCTCCTCTTTGGTGCTTCTTTGCAGCCCCCGCAAAACATGAGAAACCCGAACTAAAAGCACGAAGAGAACGACATGCCAAGAACTGTGAAGAAAACCACCCAGCTATTCCGACCAGTTGAATTGCTTGTCGACCCGTGTCCCACGCGGGTCTTCAACTCCCAGGCTATCGGAACAAAACACGACAGCTGCTGTCCCCTCGGTTTGACCAACAAATTTGAGCAAAGGACGATTTTAGCCGTGAATTCCCCATTCCCACAGCTTCTTGTTCTCACAGAGTGGCAAAACACCCAGGGATTTTTGCATATTCACCGTTGGTGTTTTAAGTTGCCTTCTTTTGGTTCTGTTCATTTGTTTGTGGGCTGCAAAGATTCCGACTTTGCTGTCACGGTGATTTTGGGACATCCGTATTTCCCAAATTGACCCCCTTCTCTCGTTGAATTTCACATTGATGGGCCCCTGCGAAAGACAATGGGTGGAAGCCCCCGACGTGCCACAAATGACCCTTTTTTACTTGGAGGACCTTCCAAAGACGGCTTCAACTTGACTCCCCTCTTTTTCATGTGAACTGTTGTGAACCTCTGAACAAGGGAAACGGAAGCCTTCCGCGCCCTTTGGAGTGTGTTGGGTTCCGAGGCAAGGGCGGGTACGGCATCCTTGCGACCAAGTGGTCGCAAGAGGTCGGCCTGCTCCCGGCGGAGTGCATGCAATACGGCTCGGAGGGTGCCTGCCAACTAGAGTGCAACCTCAAGGCCCGGGATCCGGGACCCCAGGGGGGGTGGGTGCGCCCCTGAAGAAGGGGGGTGGAGGTAGTTTGGTGGCCTTCTAGAGGTTGAGGCCGATTGAATTCCTGTTTAACCCTCGTTCTGGACAAAAAAAAAGGTGTTTTTTTTGTTGTTTCCCGATTTTTGTTCTTGGTTTGCTGAAAAGAAGGATGCCTGGAAAGAATGGGGAGAGAACACCTATCAATAGGGTGAGTTTATTCGTCCGGTGTATTCCTTGGGTGTCCCTTTAAAACCACCCAAAAAAGGGCACCCTAACAAAAAGACGCACCCAGATGCCGTAAGTGCCGTAAGCGGGGCCGAAGGACCTGGGGTTCCAGACGCGGGAGTGCATCAAATTAGGGGGCCCCCAAACTAGTTGTTTTCCCTTTGGTTTCCCTTTAAACCAACCCGAAAGAGGACACCCGCAAAAGAGGACACTCCTGTACTTCCCTTGAAAACAACCTGGTGGTTTTCAGAGGTTTCCCATGTCGCTTCCCGGACTTTCCCAGTTGGGTTCGGGGTGGTTTCCCGTTACAACCTCAGCTTTTTCAGGCGCAACCGAAAGGGGGGTGGGGAAGGAAAGCCAAAAGACTGGAAGTAACCATTTGGTTCAAATTGGTGGTTGACCCCGGACTAACAAACCTTTTGATTGTGGTGTCTTTGCTTTTGTTAGGGAACCCTTTTTGGTGTGGTGAAGGGAAACCAACAGGAACCCCAGCATGTTGGGCCTGTTTTTCAGGAGCTGAAAGGCCCGCGCTTCCGTGCGGACAACCACCGCTACGTGGGGTCCTGGTACGGGGAGCACGGGGACAAGGTGGAGGAAATCAAGGCGATCGCTTTGTCGATTCGATCGGTTCGACAGGGTCGGGGGCCTTTCTGGACTGGTTGCCTTGAAGAACTTGTGACGTGTCTATGCCTGTCGAGTGTTTCTACGTCCGGGCTTTTGGGGGCTAGCATAGGGCTTTTGTCATGATTATGTCTATTTGCATGGGGAGTGACTTACTTCTTGTATTCGAGCTTCGGAGTTGAGTTGAACGTTGCCGAATGATGATGCAGTGTTTTGGCATGTGGCGAGTCATGCAAAGTCCAGGTGTTTGCACGAACCCACTTGGTACCTCGGTAAACTTGAGCCTGACATGGGAGATAATCAGCAAGCACGCGAAAACATCATTATTAGCGGAATCATGCGGCAACTCGTTTTGGCCCGAAGAAGCCTTTCAGTGCAAGCAGTATATTGAAGATGTTGCAAGATATTGTGAGCCAGAATACGGTGTATAGAGGGACGAAGTGATTCTAACACGTTACTCCTACCATCATGACTGGGCTTGGTTCCCGTACTACAACAATCATGGAAGTGGATAGGATGTGTTGGTTTATGAACTCGCTCATGACATATTTTTGTGTGAGGGTATCCAATTTGGGGCTGGGGTTACTTTAAAGTCAACCAGGTTTCTTAAATGGAGACCACCTGTTCTGTGGGCTCCACTTTGTCCTGTGTTGCGCTTGGCAGGCGTGTGCAGGGACAAGAATTTGCTCGGGGAGACAAACCCTTTGCTTGCTGTGGTTCGTGGTCCTCAGGGATTCAGCCGGTGATGAATCGGAGGAAACCGTTCGGGATCTCCAGTTGAAACCACCAGTTGGATTGTGCAGTTTGCGTCTTACAAATCCCCGATCGGACCAGGAAGGGTGCTCTGGGTGGACACCCTACGAACATGAACGCTTGTTGAACTGCAAGTCCTGGATGTGTCTCAACAAATGGGACGCCCTACAAGTGGGTGGTTTCCTTGTGGTTTAACCTCAAAAAGAGGTGGCTCCTATTTGGAGCCATTCCCATGATCTTGCATTCTTCTTTGGTCAACAGGCAGAGCCAACCAATAGGCTTAGCCTTCGCTTGCCCCGAAAAGTCTTCTACAAACGGAAGCCAAAATGAGTTTGTTCAACCAGGATGGTTCGGCTCTATGCAAGGGTTTGGCCCTGTGTCTTCCTTACAATCCCATATTCCTATGGAGTTTCCCCGCTGTGTTTTGTTCCTCGCCTTCGCACGAATTGTCAGGCTGAGCTGTATCACAACGGCCCCCTGATCTTGGGCCTTGAACCCAGCGAGGCATGGGTTCGACTGCATAGCACTCATGTTCGTTTTTTGGGAGCCGGGTGGGTAGCAGCAATGGTTGGAAAATACCAGACCCTGGTACACCTTAAAAGGGGAAACACTAGGAGTTTGTTGAAACAATAGGTGTCCACCCTGTTTTGGGATCCTAAGGAAAGCGTGGCGGAAATGGCTGATTTCAATGAACTGTTCCCCAGGCCCCCTTTGTGTCAGCAAGGGACTTTTCTTCAAAACCCACGGCCACATCAGTCTTCCCACTGTGAGTTGATCCTTCTTCGCCACATTTAAAATCACTTCATTATGGATTTGTAGTAGTTGTTCTTTTTTGTGGTAGTTATTGGGAACATTGTGTAGGTCACACCCGTAAACGCACCCGGCAACGTGGTAATGTTTCCTCTTGGAGGTATGTCAAGCCTATCCCGACAAACAGGTGGTGAATGGACAAGCCTGACCTTACTCTACTTCAAGGTTTTGAGATTGTCCTGTGCCCAGGGTTCTGATCAGTGGACATCACTGGAGTGTCATGTTGTGCCACCCCTCAGTCATTTGTGCCCCAGATACTTGTCGACCCTCTGCCCCTCTGAAGTCGTTTGTTAGTCAGTTAGTCGGCTATGGGCGACCATCGTGTTATAGGCCCCTGGGCTGGGTGTTCCAATCCTTTGCTTTGCACGTTTGCCAAGTGTCTCTGAGTAAATATCAGAGGGGGGCCGACTCCCTGATTCGATGTTTCGTTTCCCAAGTGGATCTCGGGACATCCTTGCTCGCCATTTTCTTGCGGGGGAATCATGGAATGAAACACCCTTCCCAATGCCCGTTCCTACATCACCCCCGCAAGGTGATCGATCCATTTTCTCCCTCACCCAACAGGTGACCCATTCTTCGCCTTCCAAAAGGGCGATCTCTCTTTGGGGCTGGGAAAACGAACAAGTGCACCACATCTCATCTCCAGGACTTCATGTGGTACTCGGAGGGCATCTACCGCTCCCCTGGCACCTCCAACCTCATCCACCCCACCTCCGGCTCGGAGTGGGAGCGCGTCGACCACGCCGTGCTGCTGGTGGGCTATGGCGAGGAGCCTCGCGGGAGTTCGCCGACCTGTGGCTGTTGTTTTCGGTGAGGTGAAATGAGTATGTGTCCAAATCAAACCAGCAAACCTCGGGTTCAAGGTCCTTGTTTCCATGTGTCAGGGTTCCATTTTGGGTACTTGTAGCTAGTTTTGACCCACAGATCTCGTCACTGGAGCTCCAATTCAATTGGCGGGAGGTTGTGTTTTCCTGGAAGTCCACTTAATTTGTCACAACAACCCATGTGGGAAGACTTAGTAAATGGAACTCAGGGAAAATTAAGTCACCCCACCTCACTCTTTCTGAGTGTGGTCCAAAACCCCACCAGTGTCAAGTGTCCATCTGGTGCCGGCGTGCTGGCTAGTCATTGAAGCAATTAGAGGATTCATTGCCTGGTTCAAAGGTTTCACGACAAGAACTGGAAGCGATCATGATCATGGCCCTTGCGTGAAAACCGCGAATGAGGCTCGAGTGAGTACTTGGTACAAGGAGGGGAAGAACCGCCGGAAGTCAGTGGCGCTCGCCAGGAGAATGGCCAGAAGTACTGGAAGCTCCAGAATAGCTGGGGCGAGGACTGTGGTTTCGCTGGAGTTGGGATGTGGCTGTGGGTCAAAACCAATGGTACCATATTGGGGTAGGTGCACCACCCATTTTAGTCTATTTTAGAGGGGATTGGGATGTTCACTGGGGGTACGATTTGGATTTTGACCCATGGCCATGTGGCTTGGTCTTCTGGGCCCAAGGGTTCCCTTGGTGTCCCTGGACCACACAACAGGTGCCCTAAAAGATCATCCCAGGTTTTTTAGCTATACCAATGGCGCAAGGCAACTAATCCAAGGGCGCCAAGCCAGGTCCCTTTTCATGCGCCCTTGGATTTAGGGCTGCAACAGGTTGCTTCCGGGAGTTTCGAATCGGAATGGCATCCGGGCTTCAGGGTGTTGCTGCTTTGAGCGGGGGTCCACTTTGGGGAGCGACGCCGAGTGAGTGATTGTTCACAATGAGGTCTGTCAGAACCCCCAATAGCAGGTGCGGGCGGCTTTCCAACGCATTTGCACTGTGTTGTTTGAGAGGTGCCTACAGAATTTAAGAGGGAAGCACCTAACAGAAAGTGGTTGTACATGGCTCCCCACCTAACTGGTCCCCTATTGAAATTCATAGCCAGGTGGATGATGTGTAGCAACCATTCGCACTGCTCCCAGGTAATTAGGTATACCCTACGTACGAGCTGCTGCCTTCAATCTCCTGGTTACGCTGGCTTGCGACATGGGGCTACCTGCTTGGGCACCTGTGAACATTTCTCTAAACTCAAGGTATACTGCCTTCAGCGCCCCGAACAGGAAGGTCCTAACGTTTCTGCTGGGCTGCGATGAATCTCTCTCCGCTGAGTTATCCAGCCAGGACTGGGGCGAGAAGGGCTATTTCCGCATCGTCATGGGAGAGAACGACTCAGGCGGGGTTGGGTTCTATCCCAAACCAGCGGACAAAGGGCCCCAACGACTTCGCACAGATTGAGAGGAGTTGTGGGGCGGAATCTCAATGTCCCTAATGTCATGTTCACATTCGGAAAGCATAGTGAGCGGGACTTTGCAATTTGATGTTCGGGAAATGGCGAATTCTGGTGCCCCAATTCAAATTCACATCCAAATATGAATCATGCAGCAACCGTCGATGTGGGTGATTGGCTTGATTGAGATCATTTTTTGCGTGCTTCGCCGATTGGCCTCTAAGGCTGGGGCTCGCACAAAAGAGGACCCATCGCGCAGCCTTGCTTTCGTTGAGTCAAGAGACCCTATGTTGAAGACTGCTGAAGGCCTTCTGTTGAAGTCTCTTAAAAAAAAAACAAAAACACACACATTATACTACTGGAGATTCATTGATTCGCACCAACAGCATGCTGGTTCCCATGGAAATCCAGGGCTGTGTTTGGAGTTTGTCCGCGCACCAAAAGGGAAATCACCCACTTTCGGTGGGACAAGGCGCCTCTCCGGCCCTGCGTCACGGGAGCCTCAGGCATTGAGTCCATCCCGGAGGCGGCCGACGTCGTCGAGGCCTTTCCTAAGGGAAACGACGTGCTTTCCGCTGGGTATGTGACCCAACCTTGATCTATCCCACACGGATTTTACATACATATTCTGTATATATATATATACATATGTATACACGCACGTATCATATGTAATGTTGATTAAGTTTATGTTATGTGTATTGTGGCCTATTTCAGAAAGGACAACGGTTTTTGCATGGGTGCGAGGCCATACCCCATTTGGGAACGAAGTCATGCAAAACTGATCTTACTGCTTACGTTTACACCCTTCAAGGAGCATGGTGGACATCGTTTACGCGGGGTTCTACTCCTTTTTGATTTTGGAGAGACTCAAATTGCAGTATGCCGTTTCTTGAGGCCACCTGGTTTGGACGATTTTAAGCGGACACCAAAGGGAAGCCAGCATTTTCATTTTGCGGGGTCCTAGTTTAAGGCACATCCATCTCATTTCTCCATTTCCGAAGGGGCTTTTTCGCTTCAGGACGAGCAGCGCGGGAGGCAGGTGAACGCATTCTTCCAGCAGCAGCCAAAGGGGCAATCGATGGAGGCGAAGGAGCTGCGTATCGCGGAGACTCATTTGCAGTGCAACACACAGGCTGGTTCGATAGGCAGAACATAGATTAGAACCGCCCTGGGCTGAACTGACCTTAGTGGTTTCGTAGGGAATCCGAAATGCTGTGCAAAGGGGGAATGAGCCAATGACCCCTCGGGGGTTTGATGAGATCCATAGGTGCGTTCCCAAAAAACCCTTGAACTTCCCCATTTGTTGATCCAGCAAGAAAAGCGAGTCACACTGGTTTTTTGCCCTTTAACCAGCAACAAGCGATCCTTTGGCGGGGCATCCAAGTCTGGTCAAGCTTAGCCATCACCTTTCTACCGATGGCTTTCTGTAAGTGTACTTCTTCTTGTGTCCCGCCACTATTTGGCGATCCTGGCTTAGAAGACTGCTTTCAAGGCTGTCAAAACGTAGCTCGTTTCCAGGGATTTGGTCTCCAGATTTCCCCTCGGCACAGTTTGAGATTGGGTTGAACAGGCAAGAACACCATTCGCGTATGGTTTGCTTTGGGTTCCCTTGTTGGCGGTTTTTTCTGGGAGGGGGGCAAAAAGGTGATAATCTGGGTGTGTAAGTGTGTGTTTGGTTGTTGGAACCCCTTTTTGTCTTTTTTGGAAGGCCCTTTCTAAGAGTGGCAGGCCAACTGGTCCCAGAAGCACCTTGTTTGATGCCCCGTTTAAGGATCACCCCACCAACTACAAAGAGGAAACGCAATGTTTCAGTCAGCCAAAAATAGAACATCCAATGACACCCGGTGGGGGGAAAGGAGAACCTCCCTTGGTTTTCTGTAAGGGTTCGTGTTGCGAGTTGGTACGCCTAAAAGCGAAAGGGTAGTCTTGTTTTTTCGCCATCCGAAAATATGTTTGTCTTTGCACCCCAGATGAGGGGCAAAATGGAGGCCACTCGGTCCAATTTGGGGCAAGCTAAGGAGAAGATCGAGAAGATGCTCGAGGGGAAGCTGTGCCACGGCAGATTTTGGGGGCATGTTGCTTGGGAGGGCTTGGGGGGGGGGGGGTCTGGTGGGAGAGGTGTAAGATACTGTAAGACAACTTGGGGGTGAGGTGTTCTGAGGAACGTAGGAAGGGGAAGGGCGGGATGGGAAATCTTTTAGAGCCCAAGGCAATCTGTGATCCATGGCAAAAGTTCATCCGTTTCGCCAGCAAGGAGAGAGGGCCCTGATTCAGGACCCTTGAGAGGGCCCTGATGTACCCTATCACTGCATAAGCCCTTGAACAATTGCGGGGGTGTTTGGGGTTTGCAGGCTGTGGACAGTCCAAGAGAGCCTAAATCTGAGGATGCTGTTTCTTCCAGGAATCCTCGAATCCTTTAGATATCTTTACTTCCTTCCCTTGGTTGGTCCCAATTGTCGTGGTTTCAACGAGAATTGTGACTCCGGACATCGCATTAGAAATCCAAGCCTCAATTTCAAACAACCACAGCGGTGCGTCCAATAATTGTCAGGTTCCATGGCAAAGTCGCCCAACACAAACTGGCAAAAGCCTGGCTTTCTTCCCACTCCCCCGCATCCTTGTAGCCACATTCCGAAAACAACTTTGGGACAGGCAACATGGGGGCCCAGTATACCGAACCCACCCTGCCATAGACTTAAAGCCTATTGAAAAACTTGGTGGCGACAGGCAAACTGGTAAGCACGCCGGGTGCAAACAACTAAATAGACCTGGGACTGGCAAGAGAAACAAAAGAAGCGCACGATTGAAACCATGCAGTGTCCTTGTAGAACCCAAATGTCTTCGTTACATTGTAATATGGAAGATCGTCCTATAGATTTAAGACACCCATCAATTCCCCCTGTGACGAATTTTGAATGGGTGCCCCTTTGGCAGTGAGGATGACACTGCTCCCCGAAAACCACGCCCAGCTTACTTTTTGCGAAGCCTCAATGATATTGGGTTGTTCTGCTCTTGTTCGAGCTGGATTGGTCCTTAAATGTTGACGAAACCCAAACACAGACTAAGTCCAGTATGTTATGTGTGCAGCTTCATCCTCGAGTAAGGAAACCCCGGTACAAGTGGTTCAACTAGATGTCCTCTTCGGCCACCGGAGCAGAGCCCAGCGACACCTCGAGAATTGGAACTTTCGTAGGTTCCTTCTCTACCTGGTTTCACGACTGCGGAATTCAAACTGTCGAAGATACTTTTCTGAGGTTAAGGGCACCCTTGGTGAATTTGTTTTCCACGGAAACCAAAGGCAAATCAACCAAACAAACATGTTGCAGTTATTGTTTTTTTTTTTTTTAATGGCGAGTGGGGGGTACAAAACCGCAAGCGCTCTTGCGACCAAGGAAGATCAAGACGAAGGCTCGGTCTTGACAAACAGCCCTGAAGGCGCTTCGTGCGATTCGCTCGGCTCCAAGCGTGCGGAGCGAGGTTCTTGAAAGAGACCCTGCATTTGGGTGTGTGTCTCTTCGGGGAGACCTCTTGTTGGTTGGTAAGAAGGAAAGCGAAACGGAAACCATGCATTTTGGGGGCGTGGGGGTGGCGTCCTTTGTGGTCCTCTAATTTTGGGACAAGCCCACTCACTGATTGGGTGGGTGGGGTGGGGTTTCATTAATTTAGAGCACAGCAGACCCGGAATGGCCAGTTTGTTTTTCTTTTTCTGGGGGTCGGGGGGGCAACTATTTTGCTTAATGCGAATCCGGCTTGACGGACATCGTGTTGAAGCCCAAATAAACTCCCCCCCCAAGTTCCTGCACTTGATACTTTTGGAGGTAAACCCAACGTTTGAGACTTTTCGGCCAATCCGCTTTCAGGAAGTGACTAAGCCTTACGAAGGCTTAGAGCCGAAAGGTACTCATTTGACTGGGGCAAATGGTTCAATCGATTCCTGAAACACAAGATCCCGCAGAGATGCCTTCATCAAGCACCTCCGCCCGGCGCTAGTCTCGCGGTCTCGCGGTCCGATGCAATGGCAAACTCGGCTAGGTCCCGGGTTGGGCAGACGTCTACGGGGTCAGCATACACAGATTAGATCTAGAAAAAAAGAGCCAAGGCCGACCACATGGTGACCGTAATCTCAACGGTGCCTTGATTTTTAATCAGCCAAAGCAAACCACATGCTGGGCTAAGCTAAACGTTGGCTTTCTTTTTGACTTCTCAGAACCGTGTGTGCTGTGCACGATTCCTCAGAGGCGTTGGTTTTATGCCTTCCCTTTGTTGACAAAAACATTATCTCTCATCTTCTTAAGATCATGTTTTGCTTCCCTGGTTTTAAGGAACCTGTCATGATTGAGTGGTTTACTAGTGACTGCTAAATCGCCTATGCGTGTTAGTCTGTCCAAAACTAAACTGCGGTATGAGTAGTTTGATTCTTCTGTATCCTCTATTCAGCAAACGAATTAGTTGCGCCTTCAGCCACGGGAGTAAAGGGTTTCCTGTGAAACGACTACGAAGTCGCCCAACCTGACCCATGTTTCACCCACGCTCTTCAAGAAATAGGCCAGCCAAGGCGTATGCCTACTCGAGTGTTGGGCTCGGTTTGTTGGCGGTCTATTTCGTGAAGAGCGTTCTCTCTGGACTTGCTCTTGGCTCTTGGCAGTGGGCGCATGCATCTGAGTCACTGAGCAGATTGGCAGTCTGCTGTTGGTCAACCCCAAATTACGCACATACAAACTAGTGTCATCCAACACATGCCCAGCTTTGCGGGAATTTCTTACTGCCTTCTATAAAAACATGTGCCATGGTAGACCCACACGTCATGGTTTGTTTTCTTCAGACCCCAGTGCTCAGTTGGTCATCGTTTTTTGTTTGCGAGTTCACACGTGGGTGCTGGAATCGACATCGAGACCGGTGCGGAATGTTTGATTAGGATCCCTTAGTCCAGGTTTGATATGTGTAGTTAGTGTCTTCCCCCGCAATAAGCAACTTCCTAATGGCAACAAAAAGAACGGGGGTCAATTTCATTAATAGGGGGACTTCTATAATACGGGGGAATGTCGATGTTCGGGTGGCGAGTGTGCCTCTGCCGGGCATAGAGCATTTCAGGAATAGTTGCGCACATCGAGTGAAGCCAGTCCAAAACAACTGGGAGGGGGGGGGGGGTGCAGGACGCGTTGAGAGGGTGCCGGCGTTGAACTCACATTTGGATGTTGAAAGGGAAGCCGAAATGCGATCAGCCCTGATTTCGAGAGCTCGCCAAGTGGCTGCTGAATTCTCTAGAGGCTCCCTTTGTGGATGGTTTGCACAGTTGTCTTTAGGGTGATTTTGCTAGGGTGGAAATGTAGGGGAGCCTGTAGTGACAAGAGTGCCCTGTATCCATGGTTCAACCTTGCTTGGCCATGCGATGGGAAAAGGGAAGCCAACGCAAAGGTCATCCCCGCCATGCGAAATTCATGTTGGCCTAGGTAGCCGTTTTCAGACTGCCTTCTGAGCAAAAAGGGTTGGGAAGCCCCGGATTGATAAACCCATGGTTGATTAATCGAGGGGCCCCTTTAGTGGGGTTTTATCAAAAGGTGAGCACCCTTAATCCCGGGTCAGCAGTATGCCGGAACCAACAAGTGGCACCGTCGTAGTTGCCTCTATTGGGTATGCCAAACTTGTCAACACACATGTCCAGTTCCTGATGTTTTTTTTGCGCGTATGTCCATCATGCCTGGGGGTGAAACAAGCTTATAATGAAGGTCCTTTGCATGTGAATCAAGTCTTTTAGGTTGGATTTCACTAGAGAGCTTGGGGGCATGTCGCATCTTGAGGGTTCTCTTTTTGGGGCTGTGCTTTGCTTTCAAGGTACCATTATGAGGTTCCTCTCTTTTCTCGAACGGGGATCTACTTGGGGGGATCTTTGAGATCTTGGTTCAACCGGGTAAAAAGCAGACACGGCAAAACATAACATCACGACAAACCATGTATACAACGCTTCTCGTGTATACGAGTGTATATGCGAGGACATATTTGGGAGTGTGTCAAAATGAGGGACCTTTTGGTTGGTATTGAAGGGGAGCGGAAAAGGATTTCCAGCCATCGTGCCATTGCAATGGGAAACTCCGGATTCATAGACCCCTGGTTGATTAATAGCAGGTGTTCCCTTTCAGTGGGGGTTCATGAGGGTTTGAGGCACCGCGTCCCGCCGCCCGTTCCCGGGAGACTCCTGGGACAAGCTCAGGCACGCCGCCAGCGTGGTGGGCCACGGTGCCCAGGTGCCCATCTTCGCCGGGCAGCCCAGCCCGCCCAATACACCAAAAGACTGGTGCTGGTCCCGGTGTTTTTTGTGGTTGGTTGTGTGTGTGTGTGTGTGTGTGTGTTTTGAAGCTTTTCCTCTTCTGCGTGGCGTTGTGTGTTGTGTTACTTTTGTTGCTTTGTGCTGTTTCTTCCGATTTGGAGAGGAAAAACAGCTAGATGTGGCTGCCAGCTGAACCAGCGAGATGCAGATGAGCGCGATTTCATGGGAACGAGGGTGCGAGATGTGGCCCAAGTCTATTCTAGACTTCCAACACTCCGGGGAAACCTACTTTCACCAGATAGAAATTAAATTAATGAATGAAACCCCAAGAAAGAAACCTTCATTCACATCGCACATGCCCAATTTGCTCTGGGAAATCACATGTCAGGAAACAATCACTTCCCCCAAAAAATGCATTTTAATGCTACGAAACCGATCAGCATTTCATCGTACACTTGCATGTTGGGTTTTCCACTTGTTATAAAGACCCTGCCAATGAAAGGCACAATGACTCCTGGTCCTGATAATGTTCAATGTTCAACTCCAGAAGGCTATGATGCAAAATAATTCAAAGTGCGTGAATGCATTTTTTGCAAATGTGTGGACGGAAACATGCCTAAACTTTAGAGGTCTGCTCAAATCCGGAAGAATGTTATACATTGTCTAAAGCAGCAGGCCAACTTTTATCTCACAAGCAAAGGTGGGTCCTGGCAGGAGGTCGTGTATTGTGTGTATGTATATATATAATATATATATATATATGCACTTCTCCGTGTATATTCTACAAATGTGAGTTTCCTAAATCGTCACGCCTACAATTACGGCCAATCCATGTGGTCTGTCCCGATGCCCCTCGGGACTGGTTGGCCGCAAATGCAAATTACTGCGCAGGGCCAGTGTTTTGAGGACCTCGGAGGACTAAGCTCCGCTAGGGTCCCGGTGGCCCAACTTGCACACTCGGCTACGGAATCTAAACCCTAAACCCAACCCCCAAAAAGCCAACAGCCCCAAAACTTACCGCTAATTACTGCGCGGGGCCAGTGTTTTGGTTTGGTTTTGAGGCCAAATATAAACCGTAAAAACCCTAAACCTCCCTAAGAACCCGAAGCCCAACAGATCCTGTGGGCTGGATTGGGGCTACAAACAGGTGGCCCTTTTGGAAGACCTCGATTTGTTTACCCAACTGCTTTTGTTGAAGGCTTGGGCTTGCGTGTGATATGACATGGCTGAAACCCACAACAGTGGTACATGATGTGCCTCACCCGAGGACACCTCTCTGACTCCTCTAAATTTGTCCTGTTCAACGTAGGGAACCTTGAAAAAAACATAATTATACTTTAGCTGCTCGCAGTCACTAAGGAAATTTTGAGTATGTCACTTTAGTGGACCCAGTTCAAAGGGGTCGTTCAACGAACCTGGGGCTCCGGAAACCGCTGAGGCCCAAATCGCGCCGGTGGCGGCGTCCCAAGTGGCCCGGGTGCTGCAGAAGCACGGGGAGAGGCCTGATTTTTTGCCATGGACATCTCGGCTTCTGGGACACGAGCCGTGCCCAAATCAGAATGCAACAAGTGGAAAGTTGGTCAACGGCTTCCTTAGGTTTCCATGTTCCATGGGGCCATGCGTTTAATTCTCCTTGTTCCGCTCGGGAGAATGCTAACTCTTAAAGTACCGGGTGAGTTCTTTTAGCTGGACTGTTTGGGCAACGCGGAGCTTAGCGCAGCCAGGCCAATCAGCAGGGCTTGATGAATTGAAGGCTCAACCTCTTTCACCGACATATTTCCAGTAGAAGCCGATCGAAAGCTAATCGGCTGTGCCTATTTTCATGTTTTGTTTGTGAATCGGTGTAATGCTGCCATACCCTACAACCCCAAGCAAAGACCCGCGCTTTTTTGGCCACCAAAGGACCACCGTTGTTTTGAACCGTGAATGTTTAGATAGAGTTTGGCCGTGTTTTCTTACCCAGGGCAACCGCTTGTTGATTCATTTAGGTCGATTCAGGGATACTCCACATCTTCCAGTGTAGGCTAGTT